TCTTAGTTCCCTTGTTCTGTCCTCCGTCTCCTTTTGCATGACTACTTTTCTTCCAGATTGGAATGGCTTCCTTAAAAATACAGAATGTAAAGGAGCCCCCCCCCCTTTAAATAACAAGATTTAATATTAAAAATAAAACACTTCTTTCCTCTCCCGTAATCTGCCCTTCTTCCCTCTGCATAGGTACCCGTGTGTCTGTGCTACTCTTTCCAAGAATGTTTGAGCCTGTAACTTCTGCCTAGGAAAGGACTTTGGGGTGATCGTGGAAGATAGCGAGCACAGCTCCCCTCCTCCCCCCACGCCATTCCCACACCAGAAAGTCTGAGGCCTCCGTTTCTTTTCTCTTGTGTTAATGAATTCAGGTGTTTCACAGTGTGTGTGTGTGTGTGTGTGTGTGTGTGTGTGTGTGTGTGTTTGAGGGTATGGTATTATTAGCATATTAGAACACACAGAACGTTAAATATTGTGGTTAGAGTCTGTTAACAGGCATGTAAATTTTCTTGTTGCTCTCCTCTCCCACTTTGTGAAGTCTTTGGAGTAGGTGGAGATAGTTTTGCCTTGTTAGAGGCTAATTCTGTTTTTAACAGGTTATTTTCTTTAGTATAATCAATACTCAGACTTTAAGAAAAATATTGAGCAGATTATTTTAAGTAAAACACAAGTAAACATTCTACAAAAAGTAAATTTTAGGAAGCTATGCAGTTGCTAAACTTTAACCTTTTTAGATATTGTATAAATTATGGGATAGCTTTAAATTTTCCATTTGTGGCATTTCCTGAAATACATTCATGGTAGCATTTTAATTTTGCAAGTTACTATTTTTTCATAATCAAGGGCTTAAAAAACAAAATCAAATTTTTATCATGATTTAAAATTTTTTCGTTTTTTTTTTTTTTGTTTGTTTGTTTTTTTTTTTTCTCTCAGACAGGGTTTCTCTGTGGCTTTGGAGACTGTCCTGGAGCTAGCTCTTGTAGACCAGGCTGGTCTCGAACCATAATTTTCAATATTAACCTTAGCTTTTTATCGACCAGATAGCAAAAGACATCTCATCTTCAAATGTACCAAGTCCCTAAAAGAAAAAAAAAATGTTATCTGTTGAAATTGTCATTTCTAAGCTAAAGATAAATGACTTAAAAGTCTTTACATCACTTAAAATATTTTCAAAGGAGCCCTTGGATGTATAATAATAGGAGTGCATGACATTGTAAAGGCAATAGTTACCTTAACACTGTTAAAAATCTAATCTGAATGAATTTTTTTTTTTTGTATTTTTCTTGTGTTAACATCTAATTGAGAAGATTAAATTTGCCTTTTAAACAGTTGTCTTCGAAACAGTGCTGGGCTAGCAGAGTTAAATATTCCCAAGTGTTTGAGTTTTGTGGCCCAGGATCTGAGGATAAGTATCCTATGACTCAGTTCTTCTGAGTCCATTTTTTAGTAGGTAAACCTACTAATTAGCTGAACTGGACCATTTAAAGGAAGGTCAGTGAAAACAATAGGAATATATTTTTGCATCAATCAAAATTACTAATGGTGGACTAGACGCATTGTGGGGTAATCTTTGTTCTTTGACGTTTTCCCTTCGCTTATTGATTGAGGGTAATTGTCTCCTGTCCTCCCTTTGTGACACTCCTAGAGACTGTTCACAAAAGCTAGTGTAATATGATACTTGGATATGTTTCTTGGTTTACATTTGACTTTTAAGGAACTTTTTTTTTTTTAAAGATTTTATTTATTTATTATGTATACAACATTCTGCTTCCATGTATATCTGCACACCAGAAGAGGGCACCAGATCTCATAACAGATGGTTGGTTATGAGCCACCATGTGGTTGCTGGGAATTGAACTCAGGACCTCTGGAAGAGTAGTCAGTACTCTTAACCTCTGAGCCATCTCTCCAGCCCCCTTAAGGAACTTATTTTATCCCTCATTGTTTTCTTGATATTTCTAAGTTTGAAGGAAATGGATATGCTTTTCTTCACTAAATAGGATATCTTAAATATCCTGCCTAGTATTAGGTTAGGTTGGGTTAATGTCTTGCTAAGAATATATTGGTTCCCTGATAATCTCTTCTCTTTTTGTAATAGCCCTCAATAAATTCTTCAGTTAAAAAGGCACAAAATTTAAGTGCTGTGTGTACTAAAATTAAGTACATGTGTGTACACGTACATAAATTGGGTATACAGCCATTTGTTTGCTCATTTTCTTATGAATATGAGTGTCTTGCCTGCATGTATGTATGTATGTATGTATGTGCATCACAAGTGTGCCTGGTGCTCAAGGAGGTCAGAAGAGGTTATTGGATCCCATGGAATTGTTACAGATGATTCTGAGCCACCAAGTGGATGCTAGGAATCAAACCCAGGACCTCTGCAGGAACAAGGCTCTTCACCACTGAATCATTTCTCCAGCCCTTTCCATTAGTTTTCTTTGAAGTAACTATTCAAATGACTTGCTTTCTGTGGTAGGTAAAGAGGAGTTAACTAACATATTACATTTCAGTAGATAACAGAAATAATTTTTTCAGTAGTAATTATAGCTGATCATGTTAATATCAATCCTAAAGTATTACTGATGCCCATGTTAATTACTGAAGGCTCAGGACATATTACAAAATTCCTTTACATCTGTGTGTGTTTGTGTTTGAATGCTGCTACTTACGGGTTAGTTATGTAAAACCAATAATTAATCATTTGGGCTTTAAGTGTTTTGCTCTTCAAAAAATAAACCTTGGTATAAGTGTTTTTAGGATTTGAATGTCTTCTGACCAGTAATGGCAACTCAACTATAAAGTCTTTGCACACTGAAACTTGCATTCCTTTCCTGCTCACTACTGCTCGCGAATGCTCTGACTTTATTGCACTACTGTACTTTACAGCTAGCAGTGCAATAGTATTGTCAAAGCATCCGAAAGCAGGTCACACACCTTTTTTGATTCTTGTCTTACATGTTTAATATTTGGGAAAAATTTTCTATAACTTTCAGTGCTGAAAACTGCATTTTGTTACTATGTATATTTTTAAAAAGTCGTCATTTGAATAAATTCATTAGTGTATTGCACTGAAAATTCATTACTGTATGTTTAAAATCATGGCTTGTCTAAATGAATAGTGCTTTGTAATTTGCTTCTATTTGTAACAGACTTGGATGTGTTCTGGCAACTGTTAGGTCTCATTAGATTGTATGAGTTGGAAAGTGATAAACAGTCTCATGTCTGTCTACTATGGTAACACATTAAGTCTTAGTGTTAATTTCGGTATTATATAGGAAATGCATAGATTTAAACTTAGGAAGGGAACTAGAGAGACGGTTCAGCAGTTAACATGACAGAGGATCTGAGTTCTCTTCCCAGCACCCACATCTCATAGCTCATAGCCACTTATAACTCCAGCTCAGGGGGTTTGATGCCATCTCCTGACCTCTACAGGCACACAGACGCAAAGTCACACATCGACACATACACACAATAATAAAATCTTTTTTTTTTTTTTTTTTTTTTTTTTTTTTTTTTTTTTTGAGACAGGGTTTCTCTGTGTAGCTTTGGAGCCTGTCCTGGCACTCATTCTGGAGACCAGGCTGGCCTCGAACTCACAGAGATCCGACTGCCTCTGCCTCCCGAGTGCTGGGATTAAAGTAAAATCTGTAAAATTTAGAAATGTTTGATTATTGTAATTATAAAATATAAATCATTTTTTGGTAATGCTTAATGCACATTTTACATTAGTAAAACTCTAAATTTCAGGTGTATACTTTGATGAGTTTTGGTAAATGTATACAATCATGTACCTACCTCCACTACTAAGATGTAAAACATTTTCATCATATTGAAAAGTTCCTTTTGTGCCTGTCTGCAGTTTCTTCTCAAATAGTAATTTTCTAAAATTTCTTATGAATGGGCTGATACATTATTTGGTCTTTTGTTTTTGCCTTTTTGTACTTACTGTAACTGTTTTTGTCTTTGTTGACTGCATTGATAATTGACTCTTTTATCAATGAATAGTATTCCATTGTATAAAGCCTGACAAATTGTTTCTTGGGTTGTTTCCAGGCTTTGCCTATTAGGAATAAAATTGTTGCAAGCATGGAGTGTTTTTGTGTGGACATAATTCTTTTGTGTAGCTACTGAGAAATGGGATTATTGGGTACTGTGAATATTTGATTTTGGTGGGTTTTTTCTTTGTTTCTTAGGTTGGATTTTGGTGGGTTTTTTTTTTTTTTCTTAGGTTGGTTTTTTTTTTTTTTTTTGAGACAAGGTTTCTCCTGTATGGCTCTGACTGTCCTGCTACTTACTGTGTAGACCAGACTGGCCTTGAACTCTGAGATACACCTGCTTCTGCCTCCCAAGTGCTGGGATTAAAGGTGTGTACTACCACTGCCTGGCTATATGTTTGATTTTGTAAGAAATTGATAAAATCAGCTGGGCATTCATGGCGCACGCTTTTAATCCCAGCACTTGGGAGGCAGAGGCAGGCAGATCTCTGTGAGTTCGAGGCCAGCCTGGTCTCCAGAGCCAGTACCAGGATAGGCACCAAAGCTACACAGAGAAACCCTTTCTGGAAAAAACCAAAAAAAAAAAAAAAAAGTCTTTTGGCATTCATGCATACATATACACATGTGTATCCACATAAACTACACACAGACACATGCACATTTTTTTTTCTCAACCCAAAGTCCCTGCTATTAATATTTTAGGGGTTGGAGAGATGGCTTAGTGGACAAGGGTGCTTCCTGTTCTCCCAGAGAACTGGAGTGTGCTTCTCAGCACCCAGGCTGGGCAGCTTCCAACTTCAGGGGATCCTACACCCTCTTCGGGTCTCTGTGGGCTCCTTTACACATGTGGCAAAAACATAGAGACACACAACAAATACTTAAATTTAAAAGATTTTTATGTGTACGTTGTGCTTCTTGGGTTTATACACAGTACATGCATACAGGAGCCAGTGGAAGCCAGAAGAGGGTGTTGTATCTTCTGAAATTGGAGTTACAGATGGTTGTGAGCAGTAATGTGAATGCTAAGAACTGAATGAACCTAGATCCTCTGTAAGAGTAGTAAGCTCTCTTAACCACTGAATCATCTCTCCATACTCAAATTAAATCTTAACAAAAAGATTTAACATGTCCCTATATTACATAATTGTGTGTGTTGGTGAACATGCCCTTGTGCATGTGTTAAAGATAAAACTTAACATGAATTAGTTCTTTGCTTCTAACAGGTAGGTGCTTGGAATGGATGTAGCTTGGTGAAACATGCAAGAGGCCCAAGGCCCTAGGCCCAGACCCCAGCACTACCTGAAATAGGATACTGGAGGCACATAGGCCTCCTCTAATTCCACCTACTCCAGTCAGATAAATTGGAGGATTAGGATTTCAAACTCATTTTCTGCTCTAGCCAGCCCTAGGTATGCCTGGTTTAAATTAAACACAGTGTCAGACCAACAAAAGAAAGCTTAAGTCCGTCCTTCCACCATGTGGATCCTGGGATTGAACTCAGATCATCAAACTTGACAGCAGGCATCTTCACTTGTTGAGTTGTCTCGATATTAAACACAGCCCTAGTTTTAATTTTTTTAAAAATTTTTTTTTAAGATTTTAATTTATTTATTATGTATACAACATTCTGCTTCCGTGTATATCTGGACACCAGAAGAGGGCACCAGATCTCATAACAGATGGTTGGTTGTGAGCCACCATGTGGTTGCTGGGAATTGAACTCAGGACCTCTGGAAGAGCAGTTGGCACTCTTAACCTCTGAACGATCTCTCCAGCCCCCCTAGTTCTAAGTTTTTAATAAAGCATAAATATTATGGATATTGTTTGCCTTATACACAAGTTTTAAATGAATGTTTATCATATATTAAAATATTCAAGAATGTGAGAATGAGTAATTATGCTTACTAATATTTTTGTTAACTAAATAATGTGTACTGATTTTTAGTTCCAGAAAGCTGATTCTGATTTGGATTACATTCAATATAGGCTGGAATATGAAATCAAGACCAATCACCCAGATTCAGCAGGAGAGGTAATTGGGAAATAAGTAAATTTTTGTTTTGTTTTCAAGACAGGGTCTCACAGCTGGGTGGTGGTGGTGGTGGCGGCGGCCGAGACGCACGCCTTTAATCCCAGCACTCGCAAGGCAGAGACGGGTGGATCTCTGTGAGTTCGAGGCTAGCTTGGTCTACAAGAGTTAGTTCTAGGACAGCTTCCAAAGCCACAGAGAAACCCTGTTTCGAAAAAACAAAAAGATAGGGTCTCACTCACTTAAGTATCCCTGGCTGTGCAGGAACTCACTATGTAGACCAGCCTGACCTCAGCTACACAAATATCTGCCTGCCTCTGTCTCTGCCTCTCAAGAGGTGACATTAAAGGCATATACCACTATGTCTGTGTAGGTAGATCTTTTTAACAGAATGGTTTGTGTAAAAATTTTCTGGTAATATCTCTAGTAGTGATATATTCTAACAATTATTAGGCACCAAGCTTTTCTTTTTTAAGTGCTAGGTTTGTAGAGTCACAAAATCTTGTTTTGGTGGAAGATTGCTCATGGTATACTGAAGTGATTATACTTCATATTTTCCCAAGAGAAATAGGGACATTCATGTTTGCAGAATGATATGTATGTAAATGGTTTTTTTTTTTTCTTTTTCTTCTTCTTCTTTTTTTTTTTTTTTCTTTTGATTTTTTGAGACAGGGTTTCTTTGTGTAGTCCTGGCTGGACTGGAACTCACTTTGCAGACCAGAGATCCGCCTGCCTCTGCCTCCTGAATATTGGCATTCAAGGCATGCACCACTACCACTGGCTTATGTGCTAAATAACTTTTAAATAAAACAGTTAATGAACTCAAAGGTCCAAGTCAGGATGAAGCCTCTGAAGTGACAAGACAGTATTTCTACTTCTAGAAAAGTGGTTCATAATTTGAAGGGAGAAGGCCTAGCAGTTATGATAGTCTCTGGAGAAGATGATATTCTGTTAAGTTTGTTTAGTTATACATATGAACATTGATTTTTGAATAAAGTTATGTAGTTATTTTTACTGATTCCCCACCCTTCTATGAACTCGACACAATCATGGTTATCTGGGTGGGGAGGGGACTTCAATTGAAAAAACTACCTTTATTAGACTGGCCTGTGAGCTAGTCTGTGAGCATTTTTTTAGTGATTGATGGGGTGTGGCCCAGCTCATTGTAGACAGGGCCCTCCTGGGCAGGTGCTCCTGGGTTGTATAAGAAAGCAGGCTGATGAGAAGCTAGTGAGTAAGCAGCACTCCTCCATGGCCTCTGCTTCCATTCCTGCCTCGACTTTCTTGTAGGATGGCCTGATTGGGATGATTAAGCTAAATAAAGCCTTTCCTCCCAGAGGTGGTTTTGGTCCATGTTTTATTACAGCAATAGAAAGCAAACCAGAACAGTATTTAAGGTTACATTGCTTAGAAATCACTCACTTTATCTACTTAATGTTGAGAAAGAGTCACACTGTTGCTTAGGCTGGTCTCAATTTCTGGGTTTAAGTGAGATCCCCTTGCTTCAGCCCCCTGAGTAGCTGGAATTATAGATGCGTGCCCCCTGCATCAGAGCTGTTTATATACCATAAATTCATCCTTTTTAAGTATACCTGTTCATGGGAAAGAGGAAACAATCTCCATGCATTGTCTGTTGATAGACTACTTAATAGACAGGATATAGCGCATTTGAATTTAAAAAAATTCCATACATTAAAGACATTATTTTAGGCTGGGCATGATAGTGCTCACACACAATTGCTAGTACTTGGGAGACAGGAAGAACATTGCTATAAACTTTTAGCTAGCCTCTTCATATGAGGTGGGGCAGTCAGGTCTACATAGTGAGACTCAAAAAACCCCCAAAAATTAAGCAACAGTAGAAACTCAAAAGTTTGGTTTTGCAAGTCAAGCCCAGCCTGAATTTCATACAAATGCAGTAAGGTATACAATTCAGTGGACTTTAGTCCTGTAGTGGTTCCTACAATAATTTAAAATTTTTATTGCTAGACTGGGCAGTGGGGTGCACACCTTTAATCCCAGCACTTGGGAGGCAGAGGTAGATTAATCTCTGAGTTCAAGGCCAGCCTTGTCTACAAAATGAGTTCCAGGACAGCCAGGGCTGTTATGCAGAGAAACCCTGTCTGGAACACCGCCCCTGCAACAACAAAAAAATTACTACTAGTATGTATATGTGTGCATGTGAGTATGGCTGTGTTCCTTGGCCCACAGGAGGAGCTTAAAGGACAACTTTCAAAGTCAGTTCTCAACATGGTTTCCTGTGATTGAATTCAGGTCACTAGGCCTGCAGGTCAAGCACTGATCCATATCACCAGCCCCTGCTTTTAAAATTTGCTTTTTTGAGACAGGGTTTCTCGGTGGCTTTGGAGGCCGTCCTGGAACTAGCTCTTATAGACCAGGCTGGTCTGGAACTCACAGAGAACCACCTGCCTCTGCCTCTGGAGTGCTGGGATTAAAGGCTTTTCCACCACCGCCCAGCTGCTCTTAAGTCTTAATTTTTACAGTTTACATTACCCTACTTTTTGAACATCTTTATCACCTGAGGAAGAAACCCCATTCTCCATTACCCTATTCCCACCCCTGCTAGTTCATGGCATCAATTAATTTACAATCCATTTTACAAAAATTGAAGCATAAGTATGTGGTTGTCTTTTCACTTGGTATGTTTTCAAGATTCATGCATGTTGTAGCCTGAACAGTATTTAATTCCTTTCTATTGTTAAGAGGAATCTATTGTATACTATACCATTTTTGTTTATCCACTCAGCAGTTAAGTATCAGGCTGTTCCAAACTTTAGGCTACAGTGAATTATGCCCCTAAAAACATTCACGTAGAAGTTCTGGTGTGCCACATATTTTCATTTCTGTGGTTGTGTATCTAATGTTATTATTTAGGCCTGTCCTTGGAGTTCTGACAGGATATGCCCTCAGCTGCAGCCACTAAGAGCATCACCTGTTGTATTTTCACTATTTTCCCTTTTAAAAGGGCCCTGCCCACCTCCCAGCCCTTTCCTCTCTTCTCTCTCTCTCTCCTCCCTCCCCCTCCCCCTTCCTCTTTCCTTTCTCCTCTCTCCTGGTGCTCCAGTCTCCAGAGGCCGGTTTCCCCACTTCCTTTCCCCCTTTTTATGATTCCCTTTTCCTAATAAAAAAACCAACAGCTAGGCATGAAATTTACTGGCCATAAAAGCAATTCATACTCAATATTTTGAAGAAACATCAAAATGTTCAAAATCAGTTGTCATTAAAATGATCCTTTTTGTAGTTTTGAAACAGTTTCACTGTATAGTCTATGTTAGCCTTTGTGAACTTCACTATTCTAGATTCAGTATTTGTGGTTGGCTTATTTCACACATTTATGAATATCCTCATGGCATCCAGATTATGGGTTTTCTAAGCAGGACTAACAGCCTGAGTTCAAATTCCTGAACCCACAGTGGAAGGAGTCAATTTACCCTTGAAAGTCACTCTGTGACCTCCACTTGCACACACACACACACACACACACACACACACACACACACTATTATTATAAAGAAATATTTTTAAAATTTAAGAAAATTCTGACAGTGATATATGGATGAATCGTGTGTGTGTGTGTGTGTGTGTGTGTGTGTGTGTGTGTAAACAAGAGTAGGTCGTCTGTAGCTGGGTATGGTGGAGTACACCTTTAATCCCAGTACCTGGGAGGCAGAAACAGGTCAGCCTGGTCTACATAGCAAGTTTTAGGTCAACCAGGGTTGTATAGTAAGAGAGTGTGATCAAATATGTGATAGAATGTGTTGTGCATATTAATTTTTAAGAATAAGCTTTATTTTCCCACTACATCGTTTTAACATATATTACCTTATTTTTTCTGATGTAGAAAAATGCAGTTGCAATTTTAAAGGAATTATCAGCAATAAAGTCTCGGTATCAAGCTTTGTGTGCACGCTTTAAGCCACTTTCTATTGAACAAAAAGAGAACAAGAGCCGCATTTGTGCTACTCTGAGCAAGACAATGACCACGATACAAGAACTACAAAAACAGACAGATCTGGAGGTAACATTTTCAGTTGACAGATTGAAGTTGTTAAGTTTCAGTTATGAGTATTTTTTTTTTAAAGAATACAATCCCAATATGTTGTGCTGTGTCCCATGCACAGCTTCCAGACACTTGGATGTGACTGAGGTGGTGAGGGAATGAAGACAAGACAAACACACACACAGATAGAAATGCTGGGATTTAGTAGCCTAGACTCTGTAGAGAAGCCTTAGCATACTAGAAGCATAGTGTGTTTATTGAATTGAACAGCATGCAGGGCTAGTGCACACGAGGAGACAGATTTAGCTAGTGGGGAGGAGCAGTGTCTACAGAAGAGCAGTTTTCAGGCCATAAATATCTGGGGAGAGAAAGCTATGGTGAACATTTTCTGCACACACTGTCAACATCCACACTCAGATCAGAGGAGGGCTTTGCCATTTCTCCAAGGGTCTGAGGCTCTAGGGTATTTTGCGTGGCTGGCTTATGTCAACAACAAAGTTCACTTAGGACTTCACGCATGACTTGCTCTACTTCCTACCATGTTGGAATGTAAAATTTAGTAGTCAGCTTAAACTTTTGATAGAAATAACCTTCTCTCCCCAGCCCCCACAGACAGGCTTTGGAGCCTGTCCTGGAACTTGCTCTGTAGACTAGACTGGCCTAGAACTCACATGGATTTGGTGCTGAGATCTAAGGCATGCACCACCACCACCACCAGGTGAAATAAATTGTTTGATTCCCCCAAAATTGTTTTTCTTTTTAGTAAAAGAAGAGAAAAATCGGGCCTGGAGAGATGGCTTGATGGTTAAGAGCACTGACAAGCTCTTGCAGACAACCACGGTTCAATTCCCAGCACCCACATGGCAGCTTACAACTGTCTGTAACTCTAAGGTACCTGACACCAAGGGCAAAACACCAATGTACAGAAAATAAAAATAGATAAATTTCTTAAAAAAAAAAAAAAGAAGAGAAAAATCATGTTGATTCCATTTGGTTAGTGAAAGGTTTACTTAAATTTACTAAACTTACAAAGTGAAGCAACTCTCTTTTGTTTTTAGAGACAAGACAGTCTCATTCTGTAGAACTAGCTCGGACTCAAAGCAGTCCTCTTGCCTCAGCTTCCTCAGTGCTGGAATTATAGACACAAGATACTTTACTGGGATTCTCTTGGTTCATATTTTCCTGGTTTGATGCAAAATCAGGCAGAGTGGCAAATATCTAATCCCAGCACTTGGGAGGTAGAGGCAGCAACAACAAAAAAGTCCCAGTCCCCACCCCCCTCCAAAAATGTTATAGGCTCATCTGATCTATATAGTGAATTCCAGGGCTAGCAGTGAGACACTTGCTTTAAGAAAAGTCCAATAACAAACTGTTTAAGGACAGCCTAGGCTACAAAGTAAGATCCTAACTCAGACATCAACAAACCAATCAAACAAAAACCCACGAAAGGGCTGGAGATGTATAGTGCTTGCCCAACACTCATAAGGCTTCAGGTTCAGTCCCCGGACTGCATAAACCAGGCACGGTGGGTTACATGTGTTATCCCAGCACAGGAGGATCGGAAGTTTGAGGTCATCCTAGTCTACAAAAGGAGTTGGAGGCCAGTCTGATACATACATGAGATCCTGTCTCAAAAGAAGAAAAAAAAAAAAAATGGAAGGAGGGGAATGAGGGTCGGGGAAAGCCCCATAACTAGTAAGACATCAAATGTTGATGGTAGACTAACCTATAATCTCATGTCTTAAGAAACTGAAGTAGAAGGTCTGCCATAATTCTAGGCCAATTGAGGCTACATAGCCAGACACTGTTCAAAAACAAACAAAAAAAAGCCAAACACTTTTTTGTTGGTTTTGTTTCTCTCAGATGTATGTGGCTTTGGCTGGCTTGGAATTCAATATGTAGACCAGTAGATCAGGCTGGATCTTGAATTTAGAGAGATCTGCCTGTCTCTGTCTTCCAAATGCTAGGATTAAAGGGCATGCACCACCACCATTCCTGGCTCTAGACCTTTCTCTGTGTGTGTGTATTGGCAGTTCAAACTCAGGACCTTGTTCATGCTAGGGAAGCACTCTACCATGGCTCTATGTCCTGCTGAGTTTTTTGATTTTTTTTTTTTTTTAAATTCTCCTGGAGTGGAGTAGGCATGAATGAGTGAGTCAGACCTTCTTATCTTCTTCCATCCTCATCTCCATCTTACTTGGTTTAAGAATCCTTATAATTGTGAACTATGTCACTGATATGTAAAGACTCCTCAGATATGGTGTGGTATTCAAACATCAGCGATTGAGGTAGGCACTAAGAATTTGAACAGAGAACTGAATGATTTAGTAGCATTTTCATGCAGTATCAAAGAAATATTGGGGTTCAGACAGATGAGATTGTAGAAGGAATCAAAGAATAGAACTAGATTGGATAAAGATCTTCAGTGTTATTTGGGGTGTTATTATTACTGGCTTCTCTTAATTTTTTTTAAAGATTAATATTTATGTGTATGAGTGTAGCTTGCATGTAGTTATTTACTGTGTATGTGCCAGATGCCCATAGAAATCAAAAGAGAGCATTTGATTCCTCAGAACTAAAGTTACATGTGTTTTCGAGCCATAATGTGAGTGCTAGAAACCAAACCTGGGTCCTGTGTAAGAGCAACAGCACTTTTAACCACTGGGATGTCTCTGGGCCTGACCTTGAATTTCTGATCCTTTTGTCTCTGCTTCGTGAGTGGGATTGCATCCAGGGTTTGATGTGAGCTAAGCACATATCTACCAACTAAACCACATCCACAGTTTAACCTGTTATTATCACTCAAGTCACATTTTCTTCATTGTAAGATCAAAATGTGACACTGGGAACACATTTTCTTGGGAAACAAATCTTGGAAACTATGTGGATCCACAAGTCCCTATCACCATATCTATCTACAAATCCATAAAAGTTTTAAAGTATAGAAAAATTGGAGTGAGTGACTAAAGAGAAAAATAGTATTTTGAATGCTTAGTATAAATTGCTCTTGCCATTATTTCTCACTGAGACTACAAACTGCTATAGAAAAGTGGTGATCATATGGTAGGAGATTCTCTCTTCTTATATTGTCAACATGTCATCTAAATGTGAAAGAAAAGGGAATGACACCTATTAAGGGGTTGTATAGCCAAAAATAGCTCTCAGGCTAGATCTTAAAGGACATACAACTCAGCTGTGAGTATAACTCCATATTAGGTGTATGTAGCTCAGTGGTAGGTTACTGACTTGGCTTATGCAAGACCCTGGGTTTGACCCTCAGTATCACTAGAAAGAGACTTTTGTAAAACAAGGACGTGTAGGATAGAATTTGTAAAGGAATTTCAAACTTTAAAAGTTTTTTTTTCCCCCCAGTAATGGGGACAAGTGTTTGAGAAAACATCAAAGGCTACTTTAACCAAAGATTTAGTGAAATGCTCTAAAATAACCCAAAAGGCTTTCCTACTATTTTGTGAACATGAAGAGCAACAAAATCTGTTTAAGGAAAGTGGTACTTTGTTTATGTGCAAAAGAAAGTTAAATTGTTCAGGTATTTTACCAGGGACATTAGGAAAGGTAACACAATGGCTTTGAATTAGAAGTATTCAAAAGGACATTTAAATTGATATTTTTAATAAAAAGGGAGCCAAGAACAGAAAAGGAAGTGGGGGAAAAAAGACATACATAGAAATTTCTTTCTTTTTTTTTAAAGAGTTTATTTATTTATTATGTATATAGCATTCTGCTTCCATGTATATGCACACCAGAAGAGGGCACCAGATCTCATTATAGATGGTTGTGAGCCACCATGTGGTTGCTGGGAATTGAACTCGGGACCTCTGGAAGAGTAGTCAGTGCTCTTAACCTCTGAGCCATCTCTCCAGCCCCTACATGGAAATTTCTAAGATGTGGAGGCTTAAAGATGCTCAATTATAAAGGTTATTATTAGAGAGAGAGACATTTATAACAAAGTATAGTGATGTCTGTAAAGGCAGTACTTGAAAGACCAATGCAGGATTGATGTGAATTCCAGTACAGTATGGGCTACAGAGTGAGGTTATGTCTGAAAACAGACAAAAAATAGCAAAAACACCTAGAACAAAAACGTAATAATTAGCAATAAGAAAGACTTTAAAGAGTGTATGGTGTTTCATAGAAAGATGCTTCAAATAAATCTTTGTTAAGAAAATTACTGCTGGGCGTTCGTGGTGCACGCCTTTAATCCCAGCACTCGGGAGGCAGAGGCAGGCGGATCTTTGGGAGTTTGAGCCCAGCCTGGTCTACAAGAGCTAGTTCCAGGACAGCCTCCAAAGCCACAGGGAAACCCTGTCTCGAAAAACAAAAAACAAAAAAAACAAAAGAAAAAAAAATTACCACAGGGATTGGAGAGATGGCTGAGCACATAAGAGCACCCCAAGTTGGGTTCCCAGCATCTCATGGCAACAGATAGTTATTCATAATGCCAATTTCAAGGAATTTGAGACTCTATTCTGGCTTCTCTGGGCACTTGTACACATAGTATACATTCACACAGATACACATACACATAAATAAAAACACTTTTTTTGTTGTTTGTTTGCTTGTTTTTGAGACAGGGTCTCTCTGTGTAGTCCAGGTTGGCATTGAACTCACAGAGATACTTCTTCCTCTGCCTCCCAAGTGCTGGGATTAAAGGCATGTGCCACCATACCTGGCCAAAATAAAAACAAAAAACCTTAAAAAAAAAAAACCCTAGAAAAAAAAAGGAGAAAATACAAAAAAAAAAAAAAACAAAAGAAAAAAGAATAAAAAAAAAAAAAACAAAAAAAAAAAACCTCCAAAACAATAGTTACAACAAACATCAGACTGATTAAGTTGGCCTTAATTCTTCGAAAAAGCCTTTGAGGAGTTATTAAATTTATGGCCTTAGAATTCTTCCCTAATCATCTTAATAACAGGGATTTATTGGGAATATGTTTTACCACATTAATATCATTCCCTTATTTGAAGCAGACAAGTTCTGCGACTGTTTGGGTTGCAGAGTAAGTGCTTATTATTTTATATGAACATGTTGGGCCAGTGCTGATGTGTCAAACCAGCTGCATGGGGTTCTGAGATGTTGGAGAATGAGGCTATCCAATAGCCACATGTGGCTATATAAATTTAAACCTGATTACATAAAGTTGAAAATTCATTTCTTCATCTTCTGTTGCAACAGTACAGATACAGATTCTTTCCATCATCATGGAAAGTTTTATTGGACCGTGCTACCCTGGAGATGCTGATTCTGTAGTTCTGTCATGTTCCAGATTTGGCAGTCTCTCTAGAGATGACCTATATAATTGGACCGATTTGTAACTCTTTCAGAGGTTTGAGCTGTAGCTTGTGTTATTTTCCCATATAACCCTATTCTCAGCCAATCTGTTGGTGTTCTGTGAAAATCTTTTATTGTTAGTATTATTCCCTTTTGTTTTGGCTCTTGCTCCCATCTGCTCTGAGTGGATAGTTACTTCTGTTTCCTCATCATCTTTTAGTACATCTGTCAGAGTACTTTCCTTCCTTCCTTTTTTTTTTTTCCTCCCTGAGACAGGGTTTCTCTGTGTAGCCCTGCCTGTCCTGGAACTCACTCTGTAGATCAGGCTGGCCTCGAACTCACAGATCCTCCTGTTGCTGCCTCCCAAGTGCTGGGATTAAAGGTGTTCACTGCCACCACCTGGCTTCTTAGTTATTTTTTAAAATGTTTTTTGAGATGAGGTCTTCAAAATCTAGCACAAGCTTATTTGTATGGGAAAAATGTTATACTGTTTTAGTCTAAGTCTCTTTTCCAATATGGTATCCAAACATTAATTTAGTTCTGTTAAATGATAGTCCTTAGTTTGTTTCCTTTTGAGAAAATAATTATTTGTGTTTATTTCATGTGCCTTGGTGTTTTGTTTTCATGTATGTCTGTGTGAGTGTGTTAGATCCCTGGAACTGGAGTTACAGACAGTTGTGAGCTGCCATGTGGGTGCTGGGAATTGACCCGGGACCTCTGGATGAGTATTCAGTGCTGTTTAACTGCAGAGCCATCTCTCCATCCCAGTTTGTTTGATTTCTTGATCTTGTTTGCATAGCCTAATTGCAAGTTCTTTGAAAGCTCAATCTGGATTATATAAATCGCCATATAGCTTTTGTTTTCCCTTGCCTTTCAAGTCTTATGATTAAATTTATAGTATAACCTTACAAAAACATTCATGCAACAAAGCAAAATTTAACTCATTTAACAGCCTCTGAAGGTTTTTGAAATAAACATTTTGTAATTTGATTTCTAGCTAACTCAACTGACTGAAGAAGAGAAAGCGGTGACAGAGCAGTTAAAATCTCACATGCCGGACCTATAAAGACATGGAATTTTAAAAAGGAACTCTAATGGAGGAAAGATCAATTCCAAAGAGATTCAGCATGATGTCGTATTGATGTCATTAATCCATCAAGGAGTTGGAAGCTGATAAGAAGATTGAGATTTTCCTTGATCATGATGCTTTTAATATGAGAGGAAATTGTAAGAAGGGTATATATCATATAACTAAAAGCCAAGAAGGATGAAATGAAAATAAAGAAATTTAAATACAAGATAATCTTGTGGTTTCATTAATGATATCCCTTAGCACTGTTTTTCATCTGTCTTCTTTTTGTGTAGTTGGGATAATTTTAGAAGTTTTGGGATTTTGTAAAAGAATATTTATGTACATGTCAATCAGTATGTGAATAGACCAAATACTTGTATACTATAATTATTTAGTGAAGCTCTGCCTGTTTCTGCCTAGTCATTAAAGGCCATGATGAAAGGCTAAAGGCATGCACCATCACACTAGTGCGCCCCCCCCCCCCCCGCAAATTTTTTTTTTGGGGGGGGGGGTTTCGAGACAGGGTTTCTCTGTGTATGTTTGGAGCCTATCCTGGCACTCACTCTGTAGACCAGGCTGGCCTCGAACTCACAGAGATCCGCCTGCCTCTGCCTCCCGAGTCCCACAAATTTTTGAGATATAAATTACACAACAAAATAATTTTAAAGTGTAAATGGAATGTGGTGGCACATTGGTGCTAGAATATTTGTAATATTCTAGCACCAAGGGAGTGGAGTTCAAGGCCAGCATCTGCTACAAAGCAAATTGCAGGTCAGTGCAAGTCACAGGAGATCCTACATGAGAAAAACAAAAAAGGTACAATCGAGGACATGTTAATACAAATAACTGTGCAACTATCAACCTTTTCTAGTTCCAAGACCATACATGATTTGCAGTGAAAGCACTTTCAACCCCTGCTTAATTTTGAGTGTGTGTATAGATTATTTTGGGTTGTGTTCATATGTGTGCACATGATTTCTGGAGTCTGAGATGGCCAGAAGAACATGTCTGATGGACTTGAGCTCATGTTACAGGCTGTGAGTCCAAAGGTAGGATTAGAAACTGGTCCTCACCAAGAGCAGCAAGTGCTCTTAACCTCTAAGCCATCTGTCTAGCCTCCACAAATCTTGTTTATGGTTCATGTAATAAAAATAATTGTTGCAGGGGCTGGAGACGTGGCTTAGCAGTTTAGAGCACTGGTGGCTCTTCAAGAGGTCCTGAGTTCAATTCCCAGCAATGATATGGTGGTTCACTGCCATCTATAATGGGTTCTAATGCCCTTTTCTGGCAAGCAGGTGTACATGGAGATAAAGCATAATATACATAAAAATAAATCTATGAAAATTGTTGCTAATCTTATTTGTAATAGCCAGAAACTGGAAGCAGCCTAGATGCCCCTCAACCAAAGAATGGATAGAGAAATTGTGGTACATTTACACAATGGAGTACTACTCAGCAGAAAAAAAACAATGGAATCTTGAAATTTGCAGGAAAATGGATGGAACTCGAAGAAACCATTCTGAGCGAGGTAACCCAATCACAAAAAGACAAACATGATATGTACTCACTCATATGTGGACCTGCTTTATGATACACAGTAGTGACCATGCTTTATCAGAGCTGGTTTTTTATAGTTTATTTATTTATTATGTATACAACATTCTGCTTCCATGTATATCTGCACACCAGAAGAGGGTACTGGATCTCATAACAGATGGTTGTGAGCCGCCATGTGGTTGCTGGGAATTGAACTCAGGACCCCTGGAAGAACGGCCTGTGCTCTTAACCTCTGAGCCATCACTCCAGCCCTATCAGAGCTGTTTTTAATGATGTTGCTCAGAATGGTTTCCTCCCAGATGATGACTGAGAAACTAATTAAAAAAAAAAAAATGCTGCCAAGTACCACAAGAGAACAGAACTGTGCTGTCTTCTGGGATTTTGTTTTTTACTTTTTTGTTATTGTTTGTTTGTTTTTGTTTGTTTTTTGTTTTTTTTAAAATGGAGTGTGCTGGATGTCTCTACAATTTTGTTCAAAGGACTACAGAACCTGGAAAAGCTGTTGCTGCTATTGATGCATAACATATTGCCATTATTGCTCTTTTTATATAAATATAACTATATACATATATATATATGCTAATTGAAACTCAAATATGTGATGAATCCAAGGTGTTTCAGTTAGTGCTCACCTGTGCATGCAAATTTGATTTCATCTTTAGTTAGTAAAGTTATATGCTTTCCAAAAAAAAAAAAAAGTGACACACTGGAAGACAAATGTCACACAATTTCAATTTTATGTGTAACCTAGAAATGATGAACTTATGGGAACAGAAAGCAGAATTGTGGCTATTAGGCTTCAATGTGGGTCTTTTAACAATGGGGAAAGGATTGGTTTAAGGGTATAAAACTGCAGTTGGACAAGAGGCATGGACTCTCTGAAGTCTTGAGGTCTACTGAGAGCATGAGAAATATGGTTGATAACAATATGCTATATTTTAAAAGTTGTGAGATAGTATACTTTAAGTGTTTTCAAAACAAAAATGATGAATATGTGTGATATAACATGTTAATTAGTTTAATTTAGCCATGCCATTGTGAAGATACTGTATTCTGTATCATAATTGTGCATGACTTTATTTATGAACTAAATAAATGAAAAAAATTGTTGCTAATCACTAGAAGTTTCTTTTTAGATTATTAATTCTCTAGATTGGAGTTTATAAACAACTTTGTAATGATTTAAGATTCAATTTTAAACTTAATAGACCTATGCCTATTGTCTCACACACCCTCAATTTCGGGCAAGAAATTAAGAGGGGATCGCCTAGGAAAGTTGAACACAGTCTTTTTATGTCAGACTCCGGGTGTGACGTGGGTCCATTTCTCTCACCAAAATCAGAAGCTGACTTGGTAGCTCTCAAATGAAATAGTGACATTCAGGAAGCTTCGAGACTATATCCAGTCCAATATGAAATACAGAGAAATAATAAGCCAAACAAAAGAGATCGTCTGTTTATCCCAATTGGAGCTTTCGTATTGAATTTAGTATGATATAATGGAGTCTTAATAAATAAATAAATAAATAAATAAATAAATGTTGCGTTTCCTCCCAGTGGAGGAAAACAAACACCCGAATCACGAGTCCGGGGCTCCACAGTTTCCCAAAGCGAACCACAGACCACTGGGATCAACACAGAAGGTGCGGAGAGCGCAAATCTCCCAGGCCTTACTACTTGGGGGCGTGGCTTCTAACTAAGGACCACCCGCACAGAGGTGGCTGCAGCCTCCCGGGCAGTAAAATCTGAGAGTCTCGGGATACCGTAAAATCTGAGAGTCTCGGGATACCGTAAAATCTGAGAGTCTCGGGATACCGTAAAATCTGAGAGTCTCGGGATACCGTAAAATCTGAGAGTCTCGGGATACCGTAAAATCTGAGAGTCTCGGGATACCGTAAAATCTGAGAGTCTCGGGATACCGTAAAATCTGAGAGTCTCGGGATACCGTAAAATCTGAGAGTCTCGGGATACCGTAAAATCTGAGAGTCTCGGGATACCGTAAAATCTGAGAGTCTCGGGATACCGCGCCGGCGCCAGTATCATCTTT